CCTCCACCCTCCTACCCCCCCACCCTCCCTGATCCCAACCCACCCCACCCCGCTCAAGTCCTAATCCTTGACTGTCCAGCGCTTTGGGCCGTCCTCCCGAAGTGGAAGGCGTTTTACAAATGTAACTTTCTATTGCATTGATAAAAACTTTTGTTACATAAAAATCGTACAAGTAAAATCAATCATGAGCATAAGTGAATAAGGAACCACTAACTCATTCATGATATTTATTCAAAAGAGAATAATATTAATTATTATACAGAGGTAGCCATTTAAGCCATTTGCATCAGCCCCGGACACGCTTAAACCGAAGCTAACTGAAATTCCCTTACTTCTTCCAGCCCAGCGAGGAACGGAGGCAGGTCGCCTACTCCCTCCCATTGCAGTCCCATTAAACAGGAAGAGGACAAATCAGCGGCGGTTCCTATATGATTAATAGCCTGAAGTTGTGAATGGATGGGGGTCTCCATACAATCACAAACGGCCCCAGTCTTATCAGTTAATCGCAATTTGACTCCTCTCATCTCCATCCCGGAGCCACTCATGGCTGATTGGAGCCGCTTGAGACACAAAGTAAGTTGATGCAGTGGCAATCAGTGTGGTATTTTGTCCAAATTAACTGGTATATTTAAAATAGGAAACAATACAAATGAATCAGGGCTGGGAGTTGTCTCCGATTTACCCAGAATCCAGCGTTAAGCAGTGTCTGTCTTAAGCAGCTTCCCCTGTATTTGGGTTTAATTAACTGTCTCATTCCTGTATAATTCATGCCACTGTTGTTTCCACAGAAATCAGCAGTCATCCAATGGTTTCAAGAGAGTTTAGCTGGACATCAAGTGTCAACAGTGAAGCAACCTTAGCGGTCGGCATATCAGTTAAGCCTGATTCTGTCGTTAATTGATATCCAAAGAAATCCAAATCCACACTTATTAATAATAATACTTGCGTTTGGTATGGCGCCTTATCACATCATTGAAAAGGCTCAAAACGCTAAATTTTACCATGAAGTGCAGTGAGTGCAGTGCATATTTGTAGATCAATACAACAACCAAATTGCACACAGAATGTCCCGCAAATAACCATGAAGTGAATGACTAATTTTGTTTGGGGGATTGTTGGTCAGAACACCGTGAGAAACTCCCTTCTCTTTTTGAATAGTGCCATGGGATCTTTCATGTCCACTGAATAGACAGCCAGGACATTTTATCCGAAGGACGGAACATCCAATACAATACCAGCGCCTTGGGACATCCTCCCGATGTGAAAGGTGCTATACAAATGTAATTGTGTATTGTATTTTGTATTGTAACACCCCTCCCAGCATTGCTATGAACTAAAAATCTCAATGTGAAGTTCAAACCCAAAACCTTCTGACACGGAAATGAGAGTACTACCAACTAAGCCAGGCTGACAGTTTCAAGCAGGGAGAAAACAGATAACAATCAGAATGCAGAACTGGCTTTTCTATGCTGCATAGACCTGGATTTAAACTCAGGAACTAACTCATCTACAATAGTCGAGTTCTACACCAAGCAGTGCATCTGTACTGAGCCATCAGTTGAGTAAATTACTTTTAAATGGTTTTCTGTTCACATCAAATCTATTCAGACAGTACTTCAAAGTCCACAGTAATAATCATATTGCAGAGGAATGTACAGGACAAATTCTAACTGTATGATCTTGCAAAAAATAGATTTTCTGCAAAAGAAGAGAATCAATGTTCTGCAGCATAAAAAATTTTCCAGCAAAAGAATTGGCTAAACATTTCCTGCCATGTAGAAGATACTTTTATATAGAATATTCATTAACATTACCTACGGGGATCTGACACCTGCTTCACATCAGGAAACTGTTGCAACCATTTAGATTATTATAACTCCATAGAGAAGTCTGGAAATTGGCATTTGGAACAAATTTGAACGCCAAATGAAAGGTGCAAGAGCAAAAGTTAGTATTACCCAGTCAGCACCAACTCTTACTGGCTCAGGCATCCTCTTTCATGTTGGAATACAGGTCATGGCAAAAGCTGATTCCTAAGCGGTTTCATAACCTGTCATCAGAATGGTTCCTGGTGCACTGTGAAACCCCAAATGGAAGGCTTCTACAAACAGTATAGACAAAAGTTAGGAATGGTGATCTTTCTTTAAACCAAACTGCTTTTTTTCCCTACCTATTTTTCTATATTTTATGCATATAGTGGGGAAGGCAGGAAACAAACATCCTATATTTAAAATATTGCCCCCGCAATTGTATTTCAAAGGTGTATTTTTTGAGTGCGTATGTGAATGTATGGGGAGGGAGGTATTAGACGCAGAGAATGGAAAACTTACTTCTAGCAGCAAACTTTGCCAAGTCAAGCAAAGTATGGGCCAGACACAGAGTAGCATCGTCTCAACAATATGCTTCGACCCCAAACTTTCCAAATGATCCCTTTTTCTACAGCATTAGCCCGCATATTTTCATTTCTCGTATCAGCCACCTTTACAATAAAATACAAAATTACATTTGTATAGTGCCTTTCACGTTGGGAGGACATCCCAAGGCGCTGGACTGTCATGGATTTGCACCCGAACTGGGGATTGGGATCAGGAAGAGTGGAGGGCATGGAGGGTAGGAGGGTGACCAAAGGCTCGGTCAAAGAGGGAGGGTTTTGAGACATGCTTTGAAGGATGCAAGGGAGGGAGTGAGGCAAAGGGAATGTGGGATGGAGTTCCAAAGGGTGGCGGTAGAAAGGCTGAAGGCACGACCACCGATGGTGGGGCGAGCCTGGCGGGGGACATGAAGCCATGAAGACATGGAGCAGGCTACACCTTTGTGATTTGAATATTACTGGCAATTCAGTGCCAACATGGGCACAAACAAAATTCATGCCAATACTTGAAGCTGTTAGAATAAAATCTTCGACTGGATCAGATTAAACCAGATTTAAACCCATGTCACAGAAGTTACCCATTAATCATCCAGTCTCCAGTCAAATTACACAATAATCAGAGAGCAGGGTCTGAGTGGATGTATTTTGAACATCAAATTGAATTAAGATTAAACAATTTGCATTTATATAGTGCCCTTCACGCAAGGTAGCAGCTTGGAGCGCTTAACAATGGTATAGTTTGACGTCGAGTTGGGGAGAAAGGGGAGATGGAGTCCTGTAGCTCAGTGGTTAGAGCACACGCCTCGCAAGTGAGAGACCTGGGTTTGATTCCCGGCAAGGCAAAACCTTGGGCAAGTTTCCTTACTGCACACGCCTGATAATAATCCCTCAAGAAAAAAATAAATTGGTCACTTCAATCCATGACTGTTTGTGGGACACTGCTGTGTGCAATTGGCTGCTGCAGTTTGCCCACAAATATAGTCAATTCACTTTACAGTATATTCAGTGAAGCGCTTTGAGATGTCTAGAAGACGTGAAAAGCGCTATATCAAACGCAAGGATTATTGTTATTATTAGGTGACTGTAGGCATGGTGAAGAGGAAAGTCTTCAGGTATGATATGAAGATAGGCAAAGAGAGGCAAAGCAGAGGGATTGGGGCAGGGAGTTCCAGATTGGGGCATAACGACTGAAAGCACAGCCACTGATGGTGGAGTGGAGGGGTCAATGGACATACAGAAGGCCCGATCCGACTGAGCAGAGGGGAGTGGAGGAATGGAATGTGCCCAGGTTAGTGAGGGAGGTGCCAGGGCATGAAGTGATTTGTAGGCGAGTATGAGGACATTAGGGTTTCAATTTCTCTCCCTCCTCCCTCCCCCACTCCCCTCTCTCCTCTCACATAAAAGTACACATTATTTTTGCTCCTCTGAATCTCGCACAGTTTTGGGGGGATAGAGCAAGGCCTATCAAAAAGTAATCTCAAGTGTATAAACAGCATTTGGATTAGAAAACAATATGATCCTACTGACTACTTGAAGTCCAAGTTACAGGCAAACTGCACAAGTCATATAAAAATTTGAGTTAATCAATAATCTACAGTGCATGCGTAATTCAATGCAGCCAGTAAGTGTGCATGTGGTACTTCATAATTGCAGCTGGTAAGTGTGCATGCCAGGTCAAGACTGTATTTCCCATTATTCAATGTATATTGACTAAATACGCCATATTTGCACTTATCGGCAAACATTGGAATTGCGGGAAATGAAGTTCATTTGCACATGCACCATCAGGTCAAGATTACATTTCCCATGATTCAACGAACCACTTTGTTATGCATGTGCAGATTTTTGATTAAATCTGATTTTATACGACTTATACAAGTTTGCTTGCAACTCGGACTTTACGCAAGTCATTTTAAAAGTTGTGGTCCTGGCTGATATGATTTACGTGAGCTTTACTGTATATTAGTTTTAGGATTGAGCTTTGTATTACAGTGCAGCATCTCTGAATTTTTGTTGTATTTTGCTACAGGCAACATCATACATAAGAATAGAAATCACGGTCAAAAGGAGTTTCACAATGACATCTTTGGGATCACATATCAATTCATACTCAAAATTCTGTATTTAACATTATTACATTAGGCACAGTATAACCACAGCACAGAATGAGCTATAGAACTTACGGTGTCGACCATAAATCATGAACAGAAAAACTGTAAGATTCACAATTGATTTATGAGGCTAGCCACCTGGGTTATAAAATCGTATCTGACACATACTCATACATCCATGTTAATCTTAAAACCTGTGCAAAATTACAAAATCAAAATTTTGAAGATAAAAATGCACCGTGAAAACAACAGAATATCTTGCACTTTTTATGATAGAAATGAGGGAGCTAATCTGCGCTATGTTACTACAGTATACAATCTATTTAGAAGGGTCATACTGAACTACACTGCAAATATATCATTATCTTACAACTTGCACTTCTAAAATAAGTGAGAAGAGGGAATAAACAGTATATTTATTATCTGTTTCCTGATAAGTGCAGCTGGTCATGGAAAGTAATATAGAAAACACTTCAGTTTGATTTTTTCAGTCTTTTGGTCAAAAGCTAAAAACTTACCTACAACTTCAGTACTGTCAGCTCCACTTAAGTGAATACCTGATAAATGAATATTACTGTTAAGTAAGTAGAAATTTGAAAATCCAAAAGTATATTTTTTATCAACACACATTTGTTAAATAATCTTAGTGATTTATTCTTGCTAAATCATTACACATTTCATTATATAGAGGCCAAATTGCAATCATTTTTGCATGACTGCTGTTATTTTAACAACATATCAACTCACAACATTAGTTATTCTAGTAAATTTATATTTTGGACAATAATCTCTTACAATTAAAAGCATGCAAATAAAGTGTGACAAAAAATACTAAACTTTCACTGTAAATCTCACACAAGTGAACAAAATGTTGTGGAAACAGCATTTAACTTTAGAGACTGCAAGTGTGGATGAACAGCAAGCATACAGTCAATATCAAATCCTCCGCAGCTTATTATCTGTCCCCGGTTGGATTTTTAATCCATTTTTACCACTTATTATCCTTAGTTGAACGACTTCAATGGAGTCAATTATGTCATGCTCTCAGATGTAAACATGCTTTATATACCCACATGACTTACTGCAGCAGTTGGCCTTCTTTTACAAACTGGCCCAAAGTTACATTTTGAAAAAAGTGTCCTGAAAATTTAGTATGATTTATACTGTTCAAAAATGGGTTAGTTTGTATTGAGGACCATCTTTGTCTGATACCAACAGAGCACTTTTGTTTCTGAGCTCCATAGTAGAGCCTTTCAACTGAGGATTCACTTAATGTATATGCCTATTAAAAGTTAAGCAATCTGGAGGCACAAAAATATGAATACTTCACATTTGCATCCTTTAACAGAAAACGTTTAATCTCAAAATCAACAAAGATGCAACTTTTCAACAATGCAAATAGACATTTTAAAATTTAAAGCTGCAGACCCTCTCCAATTAACATTTTTGTTATTTCAGGGGACACCCATTGAAATAATTCCTTCCCACTCTCAATTAGTGTTTCTTGATGCAACTATGCAATTACGATTACTGTGTGCAGTCGGTCAACCTGATCAAGTTTTCCTAGGTCTTCAGGGGCCGTATCAAAAATGAACTGAGAAGACCTACATCAGTCTGGGAAAAGGAATGAGGACTCATCCAGAGTTACTCAGCAAGAAGGCAGCAATGGTCAAAAGCAGAAGATGTGGAAAAATACAGTGAATTAATAAGACAGGGAAAGAATGACAAAATAGTTGGTGGGCAGGAAGAACATTAACCAGTGCTGAACTGAGCAATCAATCAGGAATTCCCAAGTAATAGATGGAACCAAAGTGATTTCATTCAGATTGTGCATTTGATATTAAGATCCATGGATTACTGATGTAGACCTCAAATTAAGATGAATTGGTAACCCCAGTTTTCGTAGATAGACACGATTAATAATCCTAACCTTTCAATCCCTCTGTGGTGTTGCCCCACCCTACCTCCGTGATCTCCAAAAACCCTACCAACCGCTCTGCTCAGCGGGCCCCAACATGCTTCACATTCCTTGCCCTACCATTGGTAGCCAGTCTTTCAGCATATCTGCTTCCACTCTCTGGAACTCCCTTTGGCTCGCTCCCTCCCTCACTTTCTTCAAGGACTGCCTCAACGCCTTTCTCTCCAATTGCACTTTTAGTCAGCTTTCCCATCAACACAGCCCTCACTCCCAGCATGGGTACAAACCTTGGACAGTCCAGCGCTTTGGGACGGTCCTCCCAATGTGAAAAGTGCTATATAAACTATGTAAATTTATATTGTATAGAAAGATTGGAGATACAGTATTAAGGTGTTTCATCATTGAGGTCCTAGGAAAGAGTGAGTAAAGCATAGGACAATACAATTAAATTTGGACTTCAACACAGTAAAAATACCGAGAAGAATGCATAGGACAGCATACAAAGAACTTAGAAGGAAGAGAGGAAAGTTTGATATGGCAATAATCATAATATTATCAAACAAGAGAAATATTTGCAAGTGAGAGGAAGGTTGGAAACAGGTCTTTTTGTATAACCTATCCAGGAGGGCAAATAAAGTTCCAGATTTTTCCTAGCACTGATAACAGTAAACATGTCATGGACAGATTTCAGCAATATATTGTTAAGGGTTATCAAGGAGAAACATGTTTGGCACAAAAAGAGGAAACCAAGGTTCTTGAAATAGCTTTGGAGAATCCCATTTGAAAACAGAAATAATACTTCAATTACAAATGAGGCTTTCAATAAATTCCCACAAATATTTTAAAATAGGGCTGGCAGGAGTAAGGCATTGTGGTGATAGATAATTCCCAAGTAAAACATTGAATTATATTTATGTCTTAAGCACATGGAATGGATAGGCCTAGGAGTATTCCCTATTTCATATTCGGGATAGAAAAAATATTCCGGTGTTTTACAAGATTACCTTAGGTCAGGTGCTTTGTTAAAAAAAATCTCAGCTGACTAAATAAGTGACGTGGAGCCCATGAGGTGATAGGCTGTGTGCAAACTGTGAAAGGAGCACGGTTCAAGGCCCAAACAGCCTTTCCTTAATCCATTTTCTTCTGTCCTATTTCATGAGAAAAATGTTGACTAGAAAAAATTTCTCCCTATGTGAAATGCCTACATTCTGCCAGTTGACCTGTGACAAGAGACTTTTTTTTAAAAAAGGTGGGTGCCGCATGTCACGGAAAAAAAACATAATGTTAATTTTAAACCCGAGAAACTGAATTTAATGGTCACAATTTTAGTTTCCCAATCTTTCAATGCACAATTTATATAATATTTAAGCACAATAGGGGAAATAATGAAATACAAAGGGGCTCTAGAACTGTGTTCCCTAGTTATAAGACGAGGTCATTGATGGATGAAATTTTTCCAACATCTCAAATCTCAATATCGCATTAGCTTTGAGACATTATTTCACAGGAACATTGGCCCATCTTCGCGATTGTCAACATGAAAGACTTTAAGAAGGCACGAATGATCTCAAAATGCAAATATGAATCATATGTTGAAATATATTTTGAATTACTGTGAATTAGGTTGTGTAAATAATGTTGAATTATGATTTAATAGGGACATGTTCATACATTTTTAATGCAGTTAGCATTGTGCTTATCAACCCATGGCTGTTTATTTAGATTTTACCAAGCACCCCTGAAATAAAAAAAATCTAGAAATGCAGCTTTAATGTAAAAAGTTAAATTTCATTCTTAACCGACAAAATGAAAATAGCATCTTAAGAAATAAGTAATTCTCCATTGACTACATATTTCAAAGACAATGGAGTGAAATTTTTTAGCTTATAAAAATATACAAGTTCGATCACAACCACACATCCCACTATTTACTACGAGATGGTTCAAGCAGTCACTATACGTCTCACTCTCTGTCTCATTCATTCAAATCCAACTAGTTAATGCATGAACCTGCAAAAGGGAATTTCAGAGACTGGGGCGCTCTAAAAAAACATTTTTTTTAAATGCGCCAAAGGACCCCAATTTTCTGGAGGGGGGTGGGCAAGGAGGGGTTTTTGCTGCTTAAAACAATTCCCCCAAAATCTGTCTTGGAAAGTATGAGCAGTGAACAATTGGCCCGGGAGAGGAGGGAAATTGGTAGGGGAGGAAAAAAAAGCCCCTGGGGGAAGACGGGGTCGGAAGGCAAAGGAGGGGGCCGGCAAGGCGGGGGGGGGGGTGGGCTGGGAGGGGAGCCGAGGAGGGGGCAAGAGGGGGGTGGGCGAGACCGGGGCAAGGGGGGGGGGGCGAGACCGGGGGATGGGGGGCGAGACCGGGGATGGTGGGGGGCGAGACCGGGGATGGTGGGGGGGCGAGACCGGGGGATGGTGGGGGGGCGAGACCGGGGGATGGTGGGGGGGCGAGACCGGGGGATGGTGGGGGGCGAGACCGGGGGATGGTGGGGGGGCGAGACCGGGGGATGGTGGGGGGGCGAGACCGGGGATGGTGGGGGGGCGAGACCGGGGGATGGTGGGGGGGGCGAGACCGGGGGATGGTGGGGGGGCGAGACCGGGGGATGGTGGGGGGGGCGAGACCGGGGGATGGTGGGGGGGCGAGACCGGGGGATGGTGGGGGGCGAGACCGGGGGATGGTGGGGGGGCGAGACCGGGGATGGTGGGGGGCGAGACCGGGGGATGTGGGGGGCAGACACCGGGGGATGTGGGGGGCAGACACCGGGGGATGTGGGGGGCAGACACCGGGGGATGTGGGGGGCAGACACCGGGGGATGTGGGGGGCAGACACCGGGGGATGTGGGGGGCAGACACCGGGGGATGTGGGGGGGGGCAACACTGAGGAATGGGGGGCAAGACTGGGGAAGCGGGGACAAGACTGGGGGGGGGGGGGAGACTCGGGGAGGGGATGTGGGGGTAGATTGGGGGGAGACTGGGGGAGGGGATGGGGGGGAGACTGGGGGAGGGGAGACTGGGGGAGGGGAGAGGGGTGGAGAGAGTGGGGGAGGGGAGGAGTTGAGAGAGTGGGGGAGGGGAGGAGTTGAGAGAGTGGGGGAGGGGAGGAGTTGAGAGAGTGGGGGAGGGGAGGAGTGGGGAGACTGGGGAGGGCAGGAGTGGGGAGAGGAGTGGAGAGTGGGGGAGGGGAGGAGTGGAGAGTGGGGGAGGGGAGGAGTGGAGACTGGGGGAGGGGAGGAGTGGAGACTGGGGGAGGGGAGGAGTGGGGAGACTGGGGGAGGGGAGGAGTGGGGAGACTGGGGGAGGGGAGGAGTGGGGAGAGTGGGGGAGGGGAGGAGTGGGGAGAGTGGGGGAGGGGAGGAGTGGGGAGAGTGGGGAGGGGAGGAGTGGGGAGAGTGGGGGAGGGGAGGAGTGGGGAGAGTGGGGGAGGGGAGGAGTGGGAGAGTGGGGGAGGGGAGGAGTGGGGAGAGTGGGGGAGGGGAGGAGTGGGGAGACTGGGGAGGGGAGGGGAGAGTGGGGGAGGGGAGGGAGAGTGGGGGAGGGGAGGAGTGGGGGAGGGGAGGAGTGGGGAGACTGGGGGAGGGGAGGAGTGGAGAGAGTGGGGAGAGTAGGGGAGGGATGGAGTGGGGAGGAGTGGGGAGAGTAGGGGGGGAGGAGTGGGGAGAGTGGGGGAGGGGTGGAGTGGGGAGAGTAGGGGGGGGAGGAGTGTGGATAGTGGGGAGGGGTGGAGTGGGGGAGGAGGGGTGGAGTGGGGAGAGTGGGGAGGGGTGGAGTGGGGAGAGTAGGGGGGGAGGAGTGTGGAGAGTGGGGAGGGGTGGAGTGGGGGAGGAGTGGGGGAGGGGAGGGGTGGAGTGGGGAGAGTGGGGGAGGGGTGGAGTGGGGAGAGTGGGGGAGGGGTGGAGTGGGGGGAGGGGTGGAGTGGGGAGGAGTGGGAGACTGGGGGAGGGGTGGAGTGGGGAGAGGGAGGGGTGGAGTGGGGAGACTGGGGGAGGGGAGGAGTGGGGGAGGAGTGGGGAGACTGGGGGAGGGGAGGAGTGGGGGAGGGTGGAGTGGGGAGAGTGGGGAGGGGTGGAGTGGGGAGACTGGGGAGGGGTGGAGTGGGGAGACTGGGGGAGGGGAGGAGTGGGGGAGGGGAGGAGTGGGGAGAGTGGGGGAGGGGTGGAGTGGGGAGACTGGGGGAGGGGAGGAGTGGGGGGGAGTGGGGAGACTGGGGGAGGGGAGGAGGAGTGGGGAGACTGGGGGAGGGGAGGAGTGGGGGAGGGGAGGGTGGGGGAGGAGTGGGGAGACTGGGGGGGAGGGGGAGGAGTGGGGAGACTGGGGGAGGGAGAGTGGGGAGACTGGGGGAGGGGTGGAGTGGGGAGGAGTGGGGGGGGGGAGTGGGGGAGGCGGAGTGGGGGGAGGGGTGGAGTGGGGGAGTGGGGGGGGAGGAGTGGGGGGAGGGAGGAGTTGGGGAGGTGGAGGGGGAGAGTGGGGGAGGGGAGAGAGACAGAGAGAGGCGGGAAACGGCTCCTATTAACATGTCCAATCTCTCGGGGCCTGGAGTGCGGTGGCGGTGGTGGTGGCTGTGGGGGGGGGCGCGGGGCCCCGGTGTGTTTGGGGGTAAATCCCCGGGGCGGGGGGGGGGCGCGGTGTCTGGATTGCAGGAAGAGAGAGAGAGAAAGTGGGACGGACGGACGGACGGAGAGAGGGAGGGAGCGCGGCGCCCATCCCCGGCTCTTACCGTCATAGTAATAACAGACTTTCTTCCTACCGCCGCCGCCGCCGCCGCTTCCCTGACTCAGCGCCATGACAGCAGTGAGAGCCGCGCGCACCCCGCAGCGCAGCCACCAATTCAAACCGGTTTTGTAGCCCAAACCCCCGCAATCCCTCGCCCAGAAGTAGCCCAACAGCGGGGCGTCGCCTCCCGTCGGTGGCCGCGCGGCCCCGACTCGGTGTGAGTGCTCAGTGAGTCCCTCCCGCAGGATTAGGTTTATTCGCTTGTTTTGCGTTGGGACACCCGCCCAAAGCACCGCGCGTTTCACTCCCCAACACCCAAAACAACAGCGGCCAGGACCCAAACCCGCCCCAAAACCCGCCCAATCCAGCCGCTGTGTTGGCCAGCACCAACACCCACCCCGCGGGGGGGGGGGGGGGGACACACACACACACACTCTCTCAAACACTCCCGACACAACAGCCGGACTAACTCTACTCGGAGCGTTGATTCGGGAGTGAGTTCAGGTTTTGCGCGCGTTGCACCGACAGAGGAAAGGGGGAGTCATCGGGTTTCTTTCCCCCTTTAAGTCTCTCTCTCTCTCTCTCCCCTCCCCCGGCAGTGGGTGATTGGCACGGCCCGCCAGCCCCTCCCCCCCCCCCCCCCCGCACTCCCCGCGCGCGCGCGCGCACGAGGGACTGTAACAAAGAGGGAGCCCGGGCTCGGGGTGTCACGTGGTGCGGCGCTTGTTGGCTCTGGTGTCGAGATGCAGAGGAGGTCGTGTGTTTTCCCAAAGGGCACCGACCTGCGGCTCTTCTGCGCCCTGAGCTCAGAGTCACCACCAGCCTTCCGCACTGACCAGGGCTGGATGCAGAACTCAAGGGGAGGGACGCAACCTTCCAGCCTGTTCCACCGGTTTATTAGAGCGTGGCAGATCTTTTCGTCCGAACGCCTCGCTCCTCCACCGAACCCCCCCCCCCCCCCCCCCACAATGCCTACCAACTATCTGTATACGTATCTTTTAAAGGGTCTCGTCAGCCTGGTTCAGTTTGGTAGCACTCTCGCCTCTTGAGTAATAATAATAATAATAATCCTTGCATTTGATATAGCGCTTTTCACGTCGGGAGGACGTCCCAAAGCGCTTCATAGAACACACTGTAAAGTGAATTGACTGTATTTGTGGGCGAACGCGGCAGCCAATTGCGCACAGCAATGTCCCACAAACAGTTGTAGATCGAAAATGACCAATTTATTTTTGGTTTTGGAGGGATTATTATTAGGTGTGTGGAGTAAGGAAACTTGCCCAAGGTTTCGCCCTCTGCCTGGAATTGAACTCAGGTCTCTCACTTGCAAAGCGAGTGCTCTAACCACTGAGCTACAGGACTCCACGAGTAGGAAGGTTGTGGGCTTCAGCCCTACGTCAAGCTTTGAATTCAGCCTAAATTGACCCTCCAGGCCAGTGCAGGAGTGTCCTGTCCTGCATTGTCCAGCATGGAGACACTACTGAGAGTGAAAGTGGTATATAAATGCAAGTTTTTGTTAAACCAAGGTCCCATCTACCTGTTCAGGTTCACGTTAAAAATGCCACTGTACTATTTAAAAAGAGAAGGGAGTTTCTCCCTGTGGCCAGGCCAGTTACTCCAAATAAAACTTTACGGCTGTTTGTGGGACATTGCTGCGCGCAAATTAGATGCACATGTCACCTACAAAATATGCAATCACTGCACTACTCAGTATATCCAGCGAGAGGTCCTCCTGATATGAAAGGTGCTGTACCAAATTAACAATTATATTAAACATCGGACATAATCTACAAAACTAAAATAAAAACAGTAAAGAGCTGGAGAGCAGAAGAGAGGGGGAGATATAGGAGAGAGGATTAAGAGGGGTGGGCGCTTGTGTGAATATAAACAATGGCATCGACTTCTGAAATGCACTCTGCCGGTTTCCCCAAATCCACCACGCACAGGATCCAGCTAATCCAAATCACTGCCAGCCACATACTCACCCGGGCTAAACCCCGCATTTCCATCACACCACTTCCAGCCAGGCACCACTGTCTCCCTTTCGTCGAACCGATCTATTTCAAGATCCTCACACTCATTTTTAAATCCCTTCATGCCCTGACACTTTCCAACCTTCTTATCCCGCAACCCACTGCCTCCACTCGACTGGCTCCAGCATTCTGTATGTCCCTCGTGCCCTCCATTCCACCATTGGTGGCCGCACTACAACCCAAAACTCTGGAAAATTTCCTTTATCCCTCCGCCTTGCCCCTTCCTTTCCCATCTTCAGGTCACACCTGAAGATCTTCTACCCTGAAGCTAACCTGCGTACCAGAGTTCTTGACAGTGGCAGAGCACGACAGCGAGCTGGGTGAAGGGTGAGGTGACCGTAGACACTCAAATAGGAAGCACGAAGCTTCATCTCAACAATCTGCTTTTCCTCCAGCCTCGGCACTGTCTCGTGCAGCTTTCCTCAGGGCTCTGTCCTTGGTCCCTTCCTCTTCAATATCTACATACTCTCTCTTGGTTACATCATCCGCAGACATGGGGTCAACTTCCATATGTATGCGGATGACACCGAATTCTATCTCTCTGCCTCCACCCTCGACTCCAGGACCACTGCTATCCTGACAGAATATCTGTCAGACATCAAGTCCTGGATGAGAGCTCACTCTCTTCAATTGAACATCAACAAGACCGAGGCTCTCCTGATTGGCTCTCGTCAGTACCTCCTCACCTCAGTTACTGAGGCTTCACCATCCAAGGATGACACTCCACCTCACTGAGCCAGTCCAGAACCTTAGTGTGACTTGCTTGACCCTCAACTATCCTTTCTACCCCACATCCGTGCCATGACCCACTCTGCCTTCTCCCACCTCCACAACATCGCCCGGCTCCGCCACTTGCCTCAACCCTCAGGCTGCCAAAACCATCATCCATGCATTCATCACATTTAGGCTCGACTACACCAACTCCCTGCTTGTCGGCCTTCCTAACTCTTCCCTCCAGATCATCCAGAACTCTGCAACTCGTGTCCTCCCCCGCACCACGCTCTGTGACCCCATCAACCTCACCTTCATCTGGCTGCACTGGCTCCCCATCCCCAAAGGATAGAGTTCAAAGTCCTTGTCCTTGCCTTCAAAGCACTCCACGGCCTTGCTCCCTCCTTCTGCGACATGCTGACCCCACATCAACCTGTCCACTCTCTTCGCTCAGCAGGCTGTGGCCTGCTTCATATCTCCCCACCCGGTCTGCTCCACCATCGGCCATCAGGCCTTCAGCCTCTTTGCCCCACCCTCTGAAACTGCATCCCACAGTACCTTCAACTTGCTCCCTCCCTTGCCTCTTTCAAGGTGGTCTCAAAACCCTCCTCTTCGACTAAACCTTCGATCACCATCCTAACCTCCCTCCCCAATCCCGATCCCCAGCTCGGGTTCAAATCCCTGATTGTCCAGGGTGTTGGGGCATGAAATGCACTATTCAAATGTGATTTTGTTTTTGTTGTAAATGCAAGTTGTTGTTAGTTGGATCAAATGGCCTGTTTCTAAGGCTGTATCTTTCTATAATTATATGTATCAGCCATAAGGTAGATGTGATTGGCAGACATTTAACTGGGACACCTTTGCAGAATGCAGTATATATATTTTTTAAAAAAACAAGCTATACTATACTCCTTTAAGATAATATTAATAATAATTCTTGCATTTGATATTAAGAAGTCTCAAAGCTCTTCACAGAATATACTGTAAAGTTAATTGACTGTATATTTTGCGGGCGAAATGCAGCAGCCAATTGCACACAGCAGTGTCCAACAAACATTTTTTTAAAAAGGAATTATTACACCCGGAAAAGCGATCCGCCAATCAACTAACAACCAGGTTCTTACCTACTACTAGGTAAACAGAGGGGTGTGGAGTAAGGAAACTTGCCCAACATTTTGCCTTGATGGGATCAAACCCAGGTCTCTAGCTTGCAAGGTGAGTGCTCTAACCACTAAGCTACAGGAAGATGAGAGGAACACTGTCATCCTGGCTCAATTTGTTGTACGTTTACCTGTGAATGAGAAAGTCATGGTTTCACAGATCACCTCGAACTCTGAGCTTCAATGGGCTTCTGCTGCAATGTCAAAGGTACCATTTTTGAATGATATGTTAAACCATGGTCTTTTCTGCCTGTTCTGGAGGATGCTAAAGATCCCATTACACTGTTCAAAAAGAGGAAGTAGTTTCTCCTTTGTCCTGGCTAACAATTGTTCAGGTAAAGTTCATCATTTACTTCATGGCTCTGTATGGGAAATTGCTGTGTGTAAATTGACTGTTGCATTTGCCTACAAAATGCACAGTCACTACACTTTACATTTCTTTGTTAGAACTACTAGATTGAGGTGTATTGGAATCAGGTTTTTATGGTTATTTGGGGCAAATACTAGTCCTGAAAGATCCTAGCAATGGCTTCCTTTAAGCACTACAACATGCTACTCTGTGTAAAGGGCACTGTATAAATGCAAGGTGGTGTTGTCTTTCCTGATTTGTTTGTTTGTAAATACGCAGTCATGATCTGTCATTAATCTTACTTTTTCAATTTGAACATTTTGTCTGTTATCGTCAAAATAACCAATCCCAAACTGACTAAAACCACTGCATACATTTACACTGTTGTTTTCATTAAACAAAATACCCTGAAGCAAGTTAAAGGTACTTATTATTTTAGAATTCATGAATTGTAAAAAGTATGAAGCCAGCTGAATGATTTATAACATCATGATTTCTGCTTGCAAGGACTGTTAGGACTCCAATCTCTATTTAATCAAAAACTTTTTTTTCAATTATTACAAACATTACTGTATATACTTTTTACCTAGTCTTTAACTGCTGTAACCAGCCTCCCCAAGGTAACTCTCCAAAGTCTGCCTCAGATTTTAGACAGCAAGGTAATGTATATTGGCATGGTCAGATGTCCCTGTTTTGATGTTAAAATACTATACACAGTTTCACATCACTTAATGTAATATTGCTGAAAGCTATGATTTACATGAGGTTAATTATAACAGTGTAAGGTTTTTAAAGAGCCTTATAGCTGTTTAAATATGCTCAACAAATATTGCAATAGGCAGTTTGGGTATATGCAGATAGAAAAAGTATTGTCACAAGAGACAATCAAAATCTACTAGAAACAAGCAAATTTATCTGCAGGAACAGTCATACTGTATGTCAATTTTATAGATAAATGCATCAAAGGAATCACGTGGAGGTGTGTTATAGATCAGTGCTATCCAATAGAAATCGCTGACTAGCCACAGATGTGGCTACAGTGACACAAGCAATCATTTTGGTAGAAGAAGCTTTACATACACTCACACATTCAAGTAAATTT